AAATGATGTCATCATTTTTAACGTAATGTAACAGACCGATACTTAGAGAAAATTGCAGAAATCTGTAAATCATGTCAAAGTTCTTTTTTAAGCATGACATGAAAAGAAATGAAGGCAAAGAATTGAGAATATCCTTACTAAGATTAATATGATTAAACAGATTCTAAAAGAAAAGAGTATGCAGGTTTAATTTGTAAACTGTAGTACGTCGTTTGCAAACCTTAGAAATATCTTTGTAGTTTACTCAGCTTTTTATTGCTTCTGCAATCATTCAAATGTAGGACGTCGTTTGCAAACTTTAGAAGTGTCTTTATAGTTTAATTAGCTCTTTATTGCATGTGTAATCAGTCAACTGTAGGCATTATTGCTTGTGCGATCAGTCTCAAGTGGAAAATCGTTTACAAGCCTTAGAAGTGTCTTTCAAGATTACTCAGCTCTTTATTGCTTGTGCAATCAGTCAAATGTAGGACGTCGTTGACAATCCTTAGAAGTGTCTTCCATGTTTACTCATCTCTTTATTAATTGTGCACAGTCAATTGTAGGATGTCCTTTTCAAGCCTTAAAAGTGTCTTTCAAGTTTACTCATCTCTTTATTGCTTGTGTAATCAGTCAAGTGTAGGACGTCGTTTACAAGCCTTCAAAGTGTCTTTCAAATTTACTCAGCTCTTTATTGCTTGTTTAATCAGTCAAGTGTAGGACGTCGTTTACAAGCCTTCAAAGTGTCTTTCAAATTTACTCAGCTCTTTATTGCTTGTGTAATCAGTCAAGTGTAGGACGTCGTTTACAAGCCTTCAAAGTGTCTTTCAAATTTACTCAGCTCTTTATTGCTTGTGTAATCAGTCAAGTGTAGGACGTCGTTTACAAGCCATGGAAGTGCCTTTCAAGTTCACTCATCTCTTTATTGCTTGTGCAATCAGTCAACTTTAGGATGCCGTTTAAAAGCCTTTAGAAGTGTCTTTCAAATTTACTCCTCACTTTATTGCTTGTGTAATCAGTCAAGTGTAGGACGTCGTTTTCAAGCCTTCGAAGTGTCTTTCAAGTTTATCTCTTTTTTCTAGTTCAATCAGTTAACTGTAGGATGTCGTTTAGAAACCTTAGATGTGTTTTTGAATTTTAATTTGCTTTTTGTTGTTTATAGCACCCAATCTTCTGCAGGATGTCATTTAAAATCTTTAGAAGTGTCTTTCAAATTCATCAGCTCTTTATTCTTTGTACAGTCAAATGTAGTATGTTCTTTAAAAGCCGTAGAAGTTTATTTAAAGTTTACTCAGATCTTTATGGCTTTTTTGGTAAACCAAATGTAGTTCATCATTTACAAGACATTAAAAAATCCCCGAATTTTGAAAATGGGATCGACATTAGATTACAAGTCCGAGCCCCGGCGTAATACAACCTCTGTATGTCTCTTTCTTACAATCCAATTTGTCTTGTAGCGTACCCAGATAGCTGAGATTAAGACCTATAGACATTACCTGCTGCTTGACATAGGTGCGTCAGACAAATCAAGAATCAGAATTCTGATTTTCTAGGTTGGCTGTTCTTTGACAAATCGACCCTAGACAATCTTCCTATCGACATTCCCCACCAACTAATTTCAACATTTTATCTACTGAGATGTGTTGTCCTAAATTTGATGCCATGAAGACTTTGAGCCCGCGAGATCCACCTGGTCCCTCAGACAATTTAGACAGACCGCCGGCACATCCTCTAGCGACAGATTAATCTGCTGGCGGTCCAGGAGGTCTGGGTCCATCCATCGGTGACGCGGTCTGCCGCAAAATCATCTCCAGTCTTCAGATGATGGTATACGCTGCTGGTGTCTTTATCTTCAGGAAAAAAAAAACGACTTTTCCGATGGCATCAGTACACAACTGTGTATTTATGCTGGTGACACAACTATTTACCCCTGACTTTGTAGGAAGTCCGACGAATCCGACACACTTAAAGTAGCACTTGCTCCTGAAAATTCTGCCATAGGTTAACTGGGGCAAGGAATGGCTTGTAAATTTTAAAGCATCCAAAACAAAACTGCTTTCATTTAATCACCACAGTGACTTTTATCTGCTTTCCATCTGCATTGCTGATGCTAACCCCCACGTGACAACTCTTTGTGCCGTCTTGGGCTCACGTTCTCCATTGACAATAAGTAAGGATGATTATATTGAATCAATTGCTAGGTTTACTGCTAGGAAAGTTGGTTCACTGTGTCGGACCAGATAATGTTTCTCTTTAGAATCCATCTTGCACGCTTATAAATCGTTCATTCATCCGTTTGGTTTTGTTTGGTTTGTTTTGGTTTACAGCATATCAATCTCAACCTCAATGGGTCATTTAATGCCAACAAGATTATTACTGGTAATTTTTTTCCAAAAATGTATTGCTTGCAATATTTTTTCTTCAAAAATGTATTGCTAGTGATATTTTTTTTTTCATGAAAAATGCATTGGTGGTAATAATGATAAGGCGGCCCAAATCGAACCATCGTCGTTCGTATCGGCCTGGTCCAAGCAGGTGAAGACTGAAAGAAAGAAAATAACACTAAAAAAAAATACTGTTTTTATAAAAGGTCTTTCGTACAACAGTTGTTTTGTTTTGTTTTGTTTTACGACAAATCAACACCTCAATGGGTTATTTAATGCCGAAAATATTTTTTATTGTTGGTAATATTCTTCTTTTTAAAAGAATGGCTGGTATTTTTTCTTCAAAAATCTATTTCTGTTAAGAATTTTTCTTCAAACATTTATTGTTGGCATTAAAAACTATTTTTACACTTTCATAGTGTTTTAACCCCACTTTAGGGGTTAACTATTTGTCCATATCTGGGACCCTAACACCCCGGGTCCGGGTGGACCTGGGAACACCAGCAATTAAGAGGTGGTTCTACGCTTCTCGAAACCTCCTGATCAGAGGCCTTGCTGTTGGATGTAGTTTATCGTCTTACCCAAGACGCAGATGTAGTTTATCCAGGATGCCTCATTTGAGCAGTGGGGTTTCTTACTCAGCTGTGGAGTTGCAGTCAGCATTTTCTGAAGCCCCAGCCGACAGGGCGATCATTCGTACGTTCATTGAATATTGCTATCATATCTTCTCTGGTGCTCCTTCTATATATCTCGTGATTTTTGAGAAAATCCAAAGAGTCTGTAATATAATTGATGCTAACCTGGCACATCGACTTCCGTTACCTTCACATCGTCGTGAAGTTGTCGTCATTTGTCTTTTCCACAAATATTTTCATAGCAATTATTCTGATGAGCTGTTCTCTTTAACGCCCGGACTGCACGTATTTAAGGGTGGTACTAGATTGGCAATTAGGTCTCACCTTTTTACTGCTGAACTACCCTAGACGCAACCGTAAGTTTTATTCTAATATTTTTCTCTATCACTTCTCATCTGAAGAATTTTCAATTTCTGCCTTCCCTGTCATCTATGCTCTTCAAACATTTAAATGCAACATCAATCGCCATTTTCTGCCTTGAACCCTTTTCCCTGTTTGTATTTTCCTCCCCTCCCCTCACCATAGCCTTTTTTCTCTTTCACCCTTTGTAATCCCCATGTGTCCTAGTGACTTTCAGCCATTCCAAAATCTGTCCTGTCCCAGCGACCGACCACAGCCAAGCTAGCGACGGTATTCCACTGACACTGCCCTTTTTTTAGTGCAAAGAGGAACTATTGTCACAGGATTGAAATCCCTTGGGCCAAACGTCCCTTAACTCTTGTACGTGAAGATTTTGAATGCCTCTACAATAGAGTTACAGAAAACTTTTAAATGATTAAGAAGGGCTTGGAGAATTTGGCACTCACGGGAATTGAGGGCAAAACGATAGGTGCAAACTGAGTAACCTATCCATCAAGCTTATAATTAATATAGCGAGACAAGTTTGCTAGCCATAACACCACGTCGAAGTGATCAAAGGTTGTTTTAATGTAAGATGCCCGTCACGTACATATGCATCAAGGACAAAAGTTGTCCAGTTTACGCAAACACTATCACGCTGGTCTTGATAAAAAAAGTCGAGATGTGAAGAGCAGATACTTCACTTTGATTCCAGTCCAAAGGACGAGTATAATTATTCATCTCCCCAAAGAGGCAAGATGTTACAAAAAGCCGTTTCTAATGTGGGGTTACTTTCGATAAATCTAAAATTTGCCCTGTCCTAGCGAACGACCACTCTCACGCTAGCGACGGCATTTCACTGACACTGCCCCCTTTTTAGTACAAAGAGGAAGTGTTGTCGCTGGGTTGAAATCCCTTGAACAAGGCATCCCTGGTGAAGATTTTGAATATATCTACAAGAGAGTTACAGAAAACTTTTAAATGATTAAGAAGGGCTTAGAGAATTTGACACTCACGGGAATTGAGGGCAAAACGATAGGTGGAAACTGAGTAACCTATCCAACAAGCTTTTGTAAATTGATATTAGATCCGGGAGTGGGAAAGAGAGTAAAAAAGGCAAATTTTGCTAAATCTCGCGATTTTTGAAAAAAATTAGTCTGTATTGTAGAAAGTGAGTGAAGTTAAGATGGCAGATCAAGTTCGATTGCTCTTGACCTGGAAATTCAACTTCTGTCGCTTTCTCAGCGACGTGACTCAGCTTCCTTTTGTCTTTTCTACAGATGTTTTCATGGCAACTGTTCTGATAAGCTTTTTTTTTCTTTAGTGCTACGACTGCATAAATTTAAGCGAAGTACTCGATTGGCAACTAGGTCTCATTGTTTTACTTTTGAACTAGCTAGATGCAACCATTTCAAAATTTTTATTTAAATTTTGCCATTTAACCCCTGCTCGAGTGACTATTTGTGGCTCTTGAAAGCAAGACATAACTGCATCAACTATAAGGCTCACCAATTCGCCGTTTTTAATCGATATGTAATTAAATGGTTGTATGGATTAACGAGAACACGTGCGAACTAATGAGGGATTAGAGACTTGAATCTTTCTGCTTAATATTTAGAGTTTATTACCCTCCACTACTACGACAGTTTTAATCGACCAACGTGTGACCGGTTCTCGTACGACCACCAAAGTTAAGCATCGTCGAGTCTGGTCAGTAACTAGAGAGGTGACCGCTTGGGAATACAAGGTGCTGTAAGATTGGATGTGCGGATGGTGTAGTGGATAATTGATAGAAATGAGAAAATCAGAGAGCTGAGTTCAAATTGTAGTCGGGTGCATTACGCGCAAATACCTTTGAGAAAGGTATGAATCCACCTCTTCTCCCCCAGCTAGGGGTTAATTAGTAGGACCTGTATCAATATATCATTATTAATTCAAAAAAATTTTACAATCTAAAAAATATTTTTTGGCTTTAAATAACCTGTAAAAGGTTGATAAGCCATAAATTATAAATCAGTCAGCTGGGTAGTAATTATAAACCAGACTAGTTCGTTAGTCACACCTTACATCCCCTAAATATTTACTAAGTTTAACTTACATTGGAACAGGGCCACTATTATCATTGTCTCACTGAGGATCATCCTTTATATCAATAGTAAAAGTCAATCCGACTTGCTCGTTACCCATCACACCAACTCGAAGTATTTTAAATTTACTAAACTTTGCTCGGGGGAGGGGAATGATGGAATAATGGATAGCGGCTCGGGTTGAGGAGTCGGAGAGCCGAGTTCGATTTCCATTACATTCACCTACGTGTTATTACCCTTAGGAAAGGCATAAATCCTCTTCTCCCCCCCCCATCTATGGGTAATTAGCAGCACAGAATGGGTTTTATAACATTGGATGGCAACCGATCTAGAAGAAGGAAAAATTGAATTCAAAACCAGCCTGGAGAGGGTTGGGCTTCGTCAGGCTATCTTGCCAAGAAACATCACTTCTACTGTGGCTGCAGTACACATACACACACACACACACGCACATATATATATATATATATATATATATATATAAATTTATAAGATCTATAAGACATTGCACGTAAAAAGACAAAGAAGTGGCTCAATTGATAAGGCCTGCGTAGCATCGTTTTTTGGAGCAGCACCTGATTATGTTTTAAACGCAGGTTTTTTCTATCAGTAATGAGACGGGAAATTTACGACTATATCATCTAGGTTTCTCTATTGTAACGTTTCCCGGCGTAAACGGACCAGCAGGCAAAAATGCTCCCTCTTTTTCGGAGTTTGAATTACTTTTTCTTATCAGCTTCATCAGGAAAAGTCATTACAGCTCCCACCCCACACTCGTTCTAGGCTACAATAGCGACTCTGATTGGTGAAAGGGAGAGCCGAATTCTAATTCCAGTCGAATCCATTATATTTATTCACGTGCTAATACCATTGGTATATTTATAAATCCTCTTCCCCTCTCTATGTGTAATTAGCAGGACAAACTAGATTATATAACCTTCGGTGGCAACCAGTCTAGAAGAAGGAAAAACTCTTCATTCAAAACCCACCTGGAGAGGATTGGGTTCCGTCAGTCTATCTTGCCCAAGAAACACCATTTCTAATGCGGCTGCAGTAAACATGGTGCTCCTACGAACCTACGGGTCACGGGATAAAAAACGCCAAAAACAAAACAAACTTTGCTTATTTTTGCACAAGGCCGCAAGTATGGAGTACCCAATACGCATCAAGTTCAGTACTCGGTAATAACAGCGAAACGAATTAACTCGTTGACCATTACACGAGGTGCCAGATTAACTAAACTTTACTTAGTCACCCATGACGCCATTTTCTGCCTTGAACCTTTTCCCCTGTGTATATTTTCCTTCATTCCCCTTCACCATAGCTTTTTATCTCTCTTTCACCATTTGTATTCCCTGTCTGTACAAGGTCAAATGTTTGTAGCATTCTCTAAAGATCGTGATCACTACGCAGTATTACTAGTCAACGTGACTAACACATTTTTTTACATTGTTGTTTACTCTGTACGAGACTCAATAGCTTTTCGATGTGGAGGGCTTCAGATTCCAACCCGAGGCCTTTTGGTTTTGTTGGGAATAGCCATAGCTTACGGGTACCCAATGAGGCTTGATCTCACTAAGCGACGTCAGTAGCCAACAAATAACTATAGTTCAAATGTCCTATCCCTCCATGTATTCTTTGGCATGTATTCTTCGAGCAGAAAATATACATTTTTGATCAGTAAAGTATTTACAGATTTTCTTTTTTTGTGTGTGTGTATTTTCCTTTTTTTTCCCTCAATCGTGTGTCATGAATTTAAGATAATCCTCCAATCTAAATGATTAGCACACAAAGCGATTCCTGGAGGCGATAGATTTCTTTGAACGGCATTTGCAAATTATTTATTTTCATTTTATTTTTCGCCATTTTTTTTTGTCAGGGAATAATATTTACTGTCTGAGAAATGGACTACATTAAGTAATAACCATTTATTACGATAAAACTTAAATGCCATTATGGAAATGATAATTCATATTTAGCTTTGTTATGAAGGAAAATTCTTGCTACAAAAAATAAACAAATAAAATAAAGATGAATCAATAAATGTTTTACGTGATAAACAAACATAAAAGTTAAAAATAAACCCGAAATACATATAGGCAGATTTGATATATATATATATATATATATATATATATATATATATATATATTTGGTTGGATTGTTTGTGACCCTGGGTTTCACGCTTTTGCGATCGTCAGGCAAACTGATTATTTTTTTTTTAAATTTTGGGTTTATGTAGATTGCGTGTATTGGTGTTATTATGGAAGTGGGGACGTCGTCGTGATGTCATCGTGCTAACGCAAATATAGATGCATGTTCATACGCCCAATGAAGTACGCAGACACACATACACACTTGGTCGTCCGTCGGGACTCATACATATATAAACATATGTGTACAGTTTCGGATTTGACGTATGTATGTATATGGGTGTTGTTGTGTCTATACATACGCATTTGTATGTTGAAATTCAAAGACTGGAAGTGTAGCAAAAATTTTCGCTACACTTCCAAACTTTGAATCAGTTTGTCTGACGATCGCAAAAGCGTGAAACCCAGGGTCACAAACTCACATCAATCCAACCAAATATGTTAGCTCTATCTCTGATATTGAGCGCTTACTAATAAGTACTGCGCATATAATATATAAATAATTATATATATATATATATATATATATATGTTTATTTATTTATATTTATATACACACACTTTTCACACACACACACACACACACACACACACACACACACACACACACACACACATATATATATATATATATAGCTGGATTGTTGTCAGTGAATGTAATGGAATGGATATATATATATATATAATTTTTTGTTTAAAACTATGATTCTTTCGCTACATAAGAGTTCTCATGTTTAAAAAACGAGAGCCGAAATCATCAAATAATTATTAAAATTAAGTTGAATTGTGGTGTTTAGTCCCGTTTCATCTTCAAGCGAAATTTTAGGAATAAGCTATCTATCGGTTTACGTGTGTTTTTAGGCATGGTCCGTTACAAAATTGGTTATTGTGGGAGTGGCTAGGCCATTTTCCTTCATTAAGTGGTCAGAGAGTTAATTCTTATCAATAGATTCATCATCTTCTGAGAGGTTTTGCTAAGGTTGGGTAGGGTATCTATTTCAAGGCTAATGTTTGCGGTCACCCTTTAGCTGGTTCTCAGTGAGGGATATATATATATATATATATATATATATATATAGTCTTAAGGTGTGCTATAATTATGGGATAAAGTGCTCAGTATCAGAGATAGAGCGTGTGTAAATATAAAAGTGAACATAGAAGTCAACAGTTAGAGGCTATATGTTAGTTTCGCGTCTCTGGAACTGTGTTTGACAAACTGTTGAGAAGAAAAAACAATACAAAAGCGGCTAGGCATCGGAATAGCAACTACAACTATAGAACGACATATATATATATATATATATATATATATATATATATATATATATATATATATATATAGAACGACACAGCGGTTGGACGTGAGAATTAAACAACACGTACCTGCGATAATACTAAACAAAAAAATTTCTTTGGGCGATACCATTCGTAACACGTATGGGTCTTCCATTGCGGATCATTTTATAAAGAATCCAACTTGTGCGATGGATTTCAGTGTGAACTGGTTTTCCGCCTTGGCCAGTTCGCACTCACTTTTCCATCTTAAGGTGCTGGAGTCGCTTTACATCAGGTCTAGGCAACCTGCTCTTTGCAAACAAAGAGATTGTTTGCTTGGACTTGCTGTTCTGCGATTCTAGCAGCTTGGTTGGTATAATTTTAATATATATATATATTTTTTTCCTTCCCTGACCATTCATTCATGTCACCCATGACAGACTTTTTCTTTTCCTCATAATCTAAATTCCCCGTTAACAGTTCTGACGAGAGGGGGACGAAACCGGTCGACTGGTGTGTTTTTATTTTAAACTTATCATGGCCTACAATACTACATTTCTAGTTTTTAATGCCTTAATACGCTTTTGTAAACCTATTTATAAATATATTTATATATATATATATATATATATATATATATATATATATTAATTCACCACAAGGAACATCATAATTCCAGTAAGATACAAAGAGCTACTGGAAGTGGAAGGAAAAGAAAAGATATTCTAAGGCAGTGGAAACCCGATAAAACTATACATTTCAAAATTTAGGTGGAGACGTTAGAAGAAAAGCGTTGAAGCAGAGTTTAGAAGGAACCAGAAAATCAATCCTAAATCCGAAAAAGGAGATTAACCTCTACTCCTAATCTGTATCATCCACAATAAATAGTCGATTAAAAAATAGTAACTGTGGCCTATACAGGAGAGGCATGTTTTAACTATTGGCTGCAAGAGGAAATATGGCAGACGTTGGGAGCTCCGACGCTAAAAAGCTACGTAAGATCCAGAGAAAAATAAATATCTTTGGAGAAATCTATTATTATAAATTGAACATTAAAGTGGTCAGTTTTTCTTTAAATTAAATTATAATCTATATCTATCTATCTATCTATCTATCTATCTATATATATATATATATATATATATATATATAAAAAAAAAGAAGACCGCCGCAAACGCTTTAGGTTGTAATGTGGACTTTTAAAAAAAAATATATCAGGCTTTATTTTCCATCTCTTCCTTATATATATATATATATATATATATATATATATATATATATATATGTAGAAATCTGTTGGTATAATCCAGGGGGAGTCCTATTAACACAATATAGAATTTGTAATGTGTTAAAACTGACTCACAAAAGATTACTCTCACGAAAGAGTACACTACAAACTGATACAATAAACAGTTTGAAAAATCCTTCGAATTTTGAAATTAAAATTCGTAGGTGAAAATGGTCATTTACTAAAAGGTATCTTAATCCCAATTGTAATATATATATATATATATATATATATATATATATATATATATATATATATATATATATACTAAATCAGAATATATCTTAATTTCGTTAATCAGATATTTTGGGACGAGAGTTAATTCCTTTCTTTATATTTTCACACTCACTGACGATGAATTATTATCCAACAATGATTTAAAAATATCAATGATTGTTTTCATCATAAATAAACCTGATAAAAATATCAAATTAATTTATGATAAAGAAATAAAATTTGTATTTGTATTAAGATTTAGATTTTCCAAAGACTGAATTTTCTTCATTGGCCAAAGAGATTATTTAAAGACTAGCGGAGAAAAAGCAAAGATTTTGTGCCAAGACAAGATTTGATTTGTTACTGAATGATATCGATTTCATCAATCTAAAATTGGCTACTTTCCTTTCTATTATCTATCAGTTTCTTATATATATATATATATATATATATATATATATATATATATATATATATATATATATATATATATTTCTATAGGAGTCTGTTCATATCTATCTATCTATCTATCTATCTATCTATCTATCTGAGTCTGTTCATAGCTATCTATCTATCTATCTATCTATCTATCTATCTATCTCAGACTGATCACATCTCATCTCATACAGGTCATCTATCTATCTATCTATCTATCTATCTATCTATCTGAGTCTGTTCATATCTATCTATCTATCTATCTATCTATCTATCTATCTATCTGAGTCTTTTCATATCTATCTATCTATCTATCTATCTATCTATCTATCTATCTATCTACCTGTCTGTCTATCTATCTATCCGAGTCTTTTCATATCTATCTATCTATCTATCTCAGACTGATCACATCTCATACAGCTCATATCTATCTATCTATCTATCTATCTATCTATCTATCTATCTATCTATCTATCTCATTCTCTTCATGCGCCTTCTAATTTATGAATATGCTGCAACATTGTTGAGTGTACAAAAAGCAGTAACACTTTTTTATAGCTACTACTTGGGTTCACACTTCACTGTTAACCACCTTGGCAGACCGTTTGGCAGAATAAATAGTATCAAGTATAAAATGATAGCGAATCTTCCTATCTTGATTCTTTCAATATTTCTGTGTCTTGCAATTTTTTTTTGTTTTCTTTATTGAAGTTCCTCTAAACGGCTTTAATTGTTACACGTTTCCACAATTTCATTTGAGTTCCTCTTGCAAAATACTGAAATTAAATTGCAAATTTAAATAACTTGCGATAAAAATCGGTTCGTATGAAGATAAATATTGTATTCAATTATTGTACTTTCCTGTTTTTTGAATTCCTCCCGAGGGAGAGTGTCGTTCTATCTGTTTCGCAATCACGTGTAATTATGTCATTATATATATATATATATATATATATATATATATATATATATATATATATTTTTGTGTATTAGACAGAAAATTCTTTTTTGGGCTTGTCTGTTTGAATAAATTACAGACATTATGTCTGCTAATTTTTAACAAAATCCATTTATACTCACGAATAAGGTTCCGTGTATTGATGTTAAAGGATGAGAGAAATGCGCTATAGCTGCTGAAATTTCTTTTATTTTAATTTCCCAAGTACTTTCGATCTTCTTCCAAGATCATCTTCAGGGGTGCAAGTAGTGCAAAACTATAAACTGTTCATTATAGCGTGAAAAAAAATCCATTATGGGAAAATTTTTCACGTTCTAATGAACGCTCAACATATTGTCAACTGTTTTGCATTTAAAAGCAAAATGAAAAAAAATACGGTAATGGACACAATTTATTATGGTAATACATAAAATTTTGTATAAATACTTGCATTAACGAACAACATATTTATCATAGTCCAAAAGTAATATAGTGCAAAAAGTGCAGGAGATGTGGTGCAAGTAATGTTCATTAAAAAAAGAAAATGTAAAGAAAAAGAGAAAAATTAAAATAAATAAATAAAGGAAAAAATAGAAATTTCAAATTTCAGATTATGACTGGAGATGCTGCTCTGGGGCTGATAAAGTAACGTTTGTCAGGTTAAAGGGAGATAAGAAGATATGAAACCTAAAGCTTAATAAAAGAAAAAAATAATAAAAAGAATTTAACCCGCCTTCCAGTATTTTGAGAGAAATATATATATATATATATATATATATATATATATATATATATATATATCCCGGAATATTGTGGCACAATTATTATTATTGATATTTATTATATAAGTAATAATTATTTATTATAATTATTATTTATTGATTATATATATATATATATATATATATATATATATATATATATAGAAAGAACAGTAAGATATATAATCCGGTGTTCTTATAGATATTTTTATTTTTACAAAATAGTGCTCAATGTAAATTCACAGAACATTAATAATTTGCTTGAGGATGAAATGGAACTAATGTCTTTAATTTAATTACAAAATTAAATTCGGAGCTTTCAGCTTCTATTTTTGAAACATGGTTAGAACTGTGTAGCCAAAAAACATATTTTAAATCAATTAATTTATAATATATATATATGCCGGAATATTGCGGCACAATTATTATTATTATTATTAAATTTGAAAGCTGTGGATATGTTTACGTTTAAAATGTAGAAACTTTATTTTATTTCCAGGAAAATGACAATAACCAGTAAATTATGAATGCGAAGACCTAATTCAAATTCTACCCGAATCTGCTCCGTTCATTTTTGTACTATTGGCCTTGGGAAAAGCACAAACCTATCACTTCAATTTAAGGATGAAATAGCAGCAGACATTGGAATCTCTTGGGTGGCAATTAGTCTAGGAGAAAACTAATCTGAATTCAAACCAGTGGAGAATGCAATAAGACAGGGCTCCACTATATCCCCACCCCCAAAGTTATGCCAGTTCACGCTCAATAAAACAATCTCCCTGTTGGGAGACATGTTCGTCTCTCCCTTTCGAAACATATCTAGTTTAGGTTTTCTTAGATATTATAAATTAATTGATTTAAAATATGGTTTTTTTCGCTACACAGTTCCAACCATGTTTCAAAAATAGAAGCTTAAAACCCCGAATTTAATTTTGCAATTAAATTAAAGCATTAGTTCCATTTCATCTTCAAGCGGAAGATGAAATGGAACTAATGCTTTTAATTTAATTGCAAAATTAAATTGGGGTTTTAAGCTTCTATTTTGAAACATGGTTGAACTGTGTAGCGAAAAAACCATATTTTAAATCAATTAATTTATAATATTAATGCTCTGTAAATTTACATTGAGCACTATTTTGTAAAAAATAAAATATCTATAAGAACACCGGATTTTATATCTTACTGTTCTTTCTTTTTATTTATATACATAGGTTTTCTTAGATATATATTTTAATCTAACATTAGTTTATTGAACAGCATATTTAAATTTCCCGTCGGCTGTCAACTTGCATGAAGCGAGCAAGAAAAAAAAATCTTGAGTTTCCTTTTGCAAACGGTCGGTTAACAAAAGATTTTAACACAATAATTCGAAAATGCATTTTCTAATGAATATTGTTAGGTCAACTGCTAAAAAAGTCGGTTCAGTTTGTCAGGAGAGACGATTTGTCTCTTCAGAATCTATCATACATATTTATAAGTCTACCATTCGTCCATGCTTAGAATATTGCTGCCATATATGGTCCGGTGCCCCTGCTATTTATCTTGAGCTGTTTCATAAGATCCAAAGAAGAATCTGAATTGTAGAGAGCCAATGCTCTGAAGGGACACAACACATGATGACTTTCATACAATATGTTTACAACACACAACTTTAAATTATTTACAACCAGTCTAATAACTTATCTTTATTGTTTTTATCACAATGTTTTGGCCGTATAACCATCGGTACGTCTTCAAGTATCTCTTGATCTGTGTAATCTCCAAGAAAGTTTGAATTGAACTCTTTTTTTAAAATATATTGGCGTATATAGTTCTTGTTCGTCTCTCCCTTTCGAAACATATCTAGTTTAGTTCTTCTTAGATATATATTTTAATCTAACATTAGTTTATTGAACAGCATATTTAAATTTCCCGTCGGCTGTCAACTTGTATGAAGCGAGCAAGAAAGAAAAACAAAAACCTTGAGTTTCCTTTTGCAAACATTTGGGTAACAGACGATTTTAACGGTAGAGAATTCCGTAAAGTGAGGAATACACAATAATTCAAAAAAGCATTTTCTAATGAATATTGTTAGGTTAACGGCTAAAAAAGTCGGTTCAGTATATCAAGAGAGAGTATTTGTCTCTTCAGAATCTATCGTACATATCTATAAGTCTACCATTCGTCCATGCTTAGAATATTTCTACCACATATGGTCTGGTGCCCCTGCTATATAACTTGAGCTCTTTCATACGATCCAAAGAAGAATCTGCAATATTATTGGTCCTGATCTGGCCCCTCAGCTTCAGTCAATTTCCCACCGCCGTAAGGTTGCCTCCCTGTGCCTTTTCTATAAATACTTTCATGGTAATTGTTCGGAAAAGCTCTTCGCTATGATACCAAGATTTTTTGAATTTAAGCGTAGCAATAGACTGGCGTCGAGATCTCATCAATTTACAGCTGAGCTGGTTAGATGTAGCCGTAAGTTCTATGCTAACAGTTTCTTCTTACGCACTTCCCGCCTGTGGAACTCCCTTTCGGCTAACTTTAATCTGCAAAATATTTAAATGTAATGCCTATCGCTATCTTCTCTTTCCGCTCATCATTAATGTTTCTATTTCTAACTTTTCCATGCCTTGTGTCTTAGTGGCTTTACTGCCTTGCTTGGGGTGATTCCGATTTAAAAAAATATTAGCAAGATTTATCTATATTTCTGAAATGAGGTATTATTATAATTATTTACATGGCCCAGTGGATAAAAGCGTTGGTTGAAATAATTCAGTGATTTGACCCAAAGAGATGTGAGTTCAATAACTGGCCACAGCTGAGGTAAAAAAAAAAACTTGGAGAGTTTAGTTACTAAAGGAAAATACTTGAAAGTGAGATATCCAGAAAAGGCATGGCACGTGGAACTAGAACAATCTACCCCAATGGAAGAAATAAAGTGTCTGGTTTGAAATTCCGATGTATATCACCTGAAGAAGGCCGAAACGTGACATGACAATAAAGATGAGGACAACAGTACAAACGGGGTAAATATATTAGTAAGGTTTTAGTTTTGGCGGGAAAAATTGAATTAAGTAACATTCTAAACATCGAATATGAACTTGGGGAGGAATAAACTGTTAATTACATTTCAAATCATAATTGATAAAAAGAAAAAACAGTCCACATTCAGACAACGTGAAAGTCGAAGAAACCTGTTATTAAAAATAAGAAAAATTAAAATAAAGATCTGAGAAATATGTGAATAAAAAATTCATTTTAGAACTTAGATCATTTGATTAGTAAAAGCCTTGTGTTATAGCAATAATGAAAATATTAATTAAAACAACAAGTGACAAAATAAAACTGATTATCTGTTCCTTTGTGAAGCTCAGACTTAGGGGCATGAGGCCTTGTGCCAAACTCAGCTGAATTTATTAAAAATATTAACACATGTAAATGCAAAATGACGAGCACACTGACACAGACACATTTACGCATGAATGAAACAGGTAAGGGAAATAGGTGGGTATATTTGCTATACTTTTTACCCGGTCTCTCACCCACACCCATACCTAGATCAAGTTTAGTTTTGGCAGTCTGCCCGCTTTTCCAAATCGTCTCCCATCGATCGATCTCTGAGAATTGCTTTCTTGCACTGATTGATTTCTGTTTGGAACAGAATGTGTGATGGAGGGAATGGAAAGACAGGGTTTTGAGGAGGAGGAGGAGGAGGAGAAAGACGCAAAAAAAAAAAAAAAGAACGAAAAGAGAAACGCAACAAACAAAATAAGAACTAAAAAGGAGGGAAACATTGGACGCAAAAGTAGAAGACGCAAAAAATGACAAATATCACTAAATGTAAATAAGGACGTGGAATAAGAAAATGAATTACTGGAAAGAAATTACATATATATATATATATATATATATATATATATATATATATATATATACACACACACACATATATATATATATATATATATATATATATATATATATATATATATATATGTGTGTGTGTGTGTGTGTGTGTGTGTGTGT